CATGGCTTTTTGATTAAAGGAATTCCGGGACGGAATTCTTTTGAGGGGTGGATAATGTGATAACCGGATCCTGGTTATTACCCAATGTATTTAATACGTGATTATTTGATTAGATGATTACGTGATAGCATGATAGATTGATACATGCTGGTATGTGAAGTGTGTATTAATTGAATATATATATATACATATATATATATATGTATATAGAAATACATGATATATATATATATATAATTATATGCATAAGATATATTATGCATGCATGAGGTATGAATGTATGTATGTATGTGCATGTGTACATATTTGAGTATGCATGAGGTGGAAAGGAGGAGGGAAGGCGGTTTAGCCGACCTTCCATATTTGGAAGGTATAAAAAGGGGTTGAGTCTCTTCATTTGCCTTTCCTGCTATTTTTGAGAAGATTGAGTGTTTTAAAGAGAGTGTTGGCCGGATTGCAAGTGTTGGATTTCAAAGGAGTCGATTTCAAGTTTTTGGTTTCAAAAGCTTATTGAGGTGAGTGGTTTCTAAACTTTTGCATAATATTTATACTGGTTTTTAGTTGAATGTTGTTTATTATTTGGATTGAAACCATACATTATGTTTAAAGTTTTATCCAGACAAAGAGTGACCGGATAAGTGTTAAACCGGATAAAGCTTGCCCGGATTGTTCTTAAACCGGACAAGCCTTGAGCGGTGTACTGTCCGGATATTATTAAACCGGTCAAAGGTTGTGTGAAGTGTTGTTCGGACTTGTATCCGGACAAGTTGTTGAGATTATTCTAAGTCTTAAATCAATCAAGTGGTGAGCGGATTAGTTTAAATCGGTCAAGTCCTGAGCGGATTGATGTCCGGACTTGATATCCGGACAAAGATGATTTTGCTTCTAAGTCTTAAACTGACCAAAGCTTATGTGGTATGTTGTCCGGACTTGATATCCGGACAAACTTGATTTTAATCTTGTGTTTAAATCGGACGATGCTTGACCGGATTGTTGACCGGATTATTGACCGGATTGTTGACCAGTTGGTGTTGAAAATATTCTGATAGAAATTATTATTTTATCATAAAGTGAAGTTTTGATATAAATAATTTTGGACTGATAACAATTCCAATGGCTGCGGTCTATTTAGAATTATTTTTATAAATGTTTTGATGAAGTGATAAGGGTGGCATATCAAGGAGAGATGTTCATTTGATATAAGGGTGGCATATCAAGGAGAGGTGTCCATTCGATATAAGGGTGGCATATCAAGGAGAGGTGTATCATAGGATAAGGGTGGCATATCAAGGAGAGGTGTACATTTGATATAAGGGTGGCATTTGTATGTGTGTGGTTTATATAACTCTTTCTATTATATCCTTTAAGACTACCGAGGTCTGGAATCTTTATTTC